CCCACACTTTTCTATGGCCCTACACTTTTCTATGACCCAACACTCTTCTATTGCCCTACACTTTTCTATGACCCTACACTTTTCTATGACCCACTTTTCTATGACCCCACACTTTTCTATTGCCCCACACTTTTCTATGGCCCCACACTTTTCTATGACCCCACGCTTTACTATCACCCCACACTTTACTATCACCCCGCACTTTTCTATCACCCAACACTTTTTTATTGCTCCACACTTTTCTATGACTCTACACTTTTCTATGACCCCACACTTCTATTGCCCCACACTTTTCTATGGCCCCACACTTTTCTATGACCACACACTTTTCTATGACCCCACACTTTTCTATGGCCCCAACCTCGTACCCAGGCTCGCGTGCGAAGGTAAGAGCCTGGGTACGGGGTTGCTATGGCCCAACCCTTTCCTATAACCAAACCTTTTCTATGCCCCCACACTTTTCTATGACCCAACCATTTTTGTGACCCAACCCTTCTCTATGACACAACACTTCTTTATGGCCCAACCCTTTTCTATGACCCAATACGTCTCTATGGCTTAACCACTGATCTGTATTAAGACTGGATAACGCATCTATAGTATACAAAAGTGAAGCCGGAAGTCACCGGCCGCCACCTGATTCAAGGGTCCCACTTTTGTGTAGATTTGTATTACAGATGGTAGTTTTTCGCGTTTTTTGCCTTGGCTACGTTTCTGACCGGGCCAGTTTTTCAGTCACAAAGATAGAAGCATACAAGAAAAATTTTGAGCAAAAAATTTGGAGTATTATGGCTTTATAACGCCGCGAAACGGGATTTACAATTTTTGAAGAAGTGGAGAGCCTCGGACTTTGTTTATCAACATGAGCTCGTTTTGCTACTTTCATACAAAATCGACTCAAAATATACAAGAATTACTGTTACTGGACGAATATTCTCGGGAAATTTGAAGAAATGAAGCAGCTACATTGTGAACGAAAGCGTACTGAGGTTAGTTTTAAAATACCTTGAGGCTACTTTTATAATTATATGAATTAAAATAACATTATATTGAGTCATTGTTAATTTGGATTAAAAAATATTTGATTGTCACTTGTCTTCCCACTTTAAAACATATAAAACTTCTCGACAAGTCGAGGGAATGTTCTTGACAAGTTACCATTTAAAATTGTTCCTTAATTTTCATATAATTACATTAGTAGCCTCAAGGTATTTTAAATCAAACCTCACTACGCTTTCGTTCACAATGTAGCTGCTTCATTTCTTCAAATTTCCTGAGAATATTCGTCCAGTAGCAGTAATTCTTGTATATTTTGATTTGATTTTGTGAAAGTAGCAAAACGAGCTCGTGTTGATAAACAAACTCTGGGGGTCTCTACTCCTTCAAAATTGTAAATCCCGTTTCGCGGCGTTATAAAGCCATAATACTCCAAATTTTTTGCTCTTGTATGCTTCTATATCTTTGTGACTGAAAAACTGGCCCGGTCAGAAACGTAGGCAAGGCAAAAAACGCGAAAAACTACCATCTGTAATACAAATCTATACAAAAGTGGGACCCTTGAATCGGGTGGCGGCCGGTGACTTCCTGCTTCACTTTTGTATACTATAGATGCGTTATCCAGTCTTAGTACAGATCAGTGGGCTCAACACTTCTATTGCCCCACATTCTACTGCAGTCTAGATTCCTATGGCCCCACACCTTTCTATGGCCTCACATATTTCTACAGCCTGTACTCTTATGCCCCCGCACGTTTCTAGAGCCTGGCATCTTTCTAGGGTACATGCTGGTTTATGGAGTTGTATGCTTTCCATTTGATGAATAGCCAAGACATAAATTGCACAATTAGAAAGCGTTCATCTCATAAAAAAGCAATAGGCCTGCCAGTTTTGATATATGGTTTATCTGGCACTGCTAATAATGTTAACGATGTCTATTTGTAGGTTTGATCAGACAATCAAGCATTTTTGCATTGAAGAAAGTCCCGAAGGATTTGGATTTGCAGAAGGTTTTACTAATCATCCAACAATTCAAAGTCTTGTTGAATATTACCATCGTGTTTCTTTACAGATGCACAACAGTGGCCTTGCAACAACCTTGCGTATGCCCGTTCGTTGGTATAAACCAAATATACCACAATGGAACAAATACGCACAGTAATATAGAAATACATTGTCATAGCTAGAATTACTACATTTCATTCTTTATACGGATTATTCCAAAAATTGTCATAAATTGATCAATAAGTTCTGAAGGTTTCGCAAAAACTCTGCATCGTTTTAAATCTCCCATTTTTCGGAAAGATGTGATATTCATTTAAAATAATTAATAATGACGTCTTTGCAGAAAACATTTTTGCTAGGAAACATTGGATATATTAATTAGGAGACTTCTGAGTGTCTTTCTGGAACGGAATTGAACAAACTAGACATATAGGAAAACAAAATGTACTTCTAAATTTGTCGGGAAACGTTTTTTCTTCCTAAAAAGAAAAAGGCATTTCTACTGTTTGGCAAATCACTTGAGGAAATATCGGATTTTTAAAATATTTCTGCAATGTTTCCTAATTTATCCAGGGTTTTTCCAATAGTGATGCCTTCTTAGAAATCACAAGAATTGTAGTCTCTCCAGGGTAGTTAAACGTGTTATAAATCAAATAGTTAGTCCAAAACTGATTTGATTGAATGTGTGTCACACTGTCTAGCAATTTTGTCGGATTTTCTGTTGTTGACGCATACGAATAAGTGTAATCGCTCAGGAATAGAACAATATGTCTGAATCAGGTTTAACAGGAAAATTATGAATTGAAACAAATCTTTGTAGTTGAAAAACCCAAGTTTAGAAATAGAACTGATTAAAATTCGGTGTAGAAATAGAAATTTGGTGTCACGTACATTTTTTACTGGCTGTGATGATGAAATTGGACGCTTATCAAGTATATGGACATGTATAGTCTTACAGGAGCTTTCTTTTTGCAATATAATAATGTAGCGATCTTGGTAGAGATATCTAAAGCTCTTCAATTAATAAAGTAGTAGGCATGTGATAAGTAGGGAATTATTTCATCTAATGAAAAAGAAAATTATTTTAACTGTAGATGATTGTCGTAGAAATTAAAAGAACGAAAACTATAGTGTTTGTTTCCTCTAACTTTATTACCTTCTTTGAAATACGAATTGATTTTGACAATGATATTGACATTGATATTATAAAAACACTTGAGCTATGTGATAAATATTTTAAAAAATGAAACCGAACAGATGACGATGTTTGCTATCTCACTGTGGTCCCATGCATATCTATGATCCCATGTATATCTATGGTCCCAAGCCTCTGCATGGCAGGAATCGAACCTGTGCCCCTGTGCTTCCCGTGCAGCGCTCTAACCAACTGAGCTACAGAGGCCAGTTGTCGAGCTCGATATTTACCCATACTTTAACATGGCAGTACCCTAGTATACGTACATGAACATGGGGTTAGAGCTCGACAACTGGCCTCTGTAGCTCATTTGGGCTACGCCGAAATCGCAGGGCCGCAGGACGTATTGTTGCTTTTTTCGCAGCTGTTCCTGATAATTTCCATGTACAAACTCTTCAAGTATTATTATGCATCTTGTGGAAAACGTTTGCAGTGGTGAAAATGCAAATTTTCGAAGTCTTCAATTGCGCTATAAGTAATTGTAACTTTTTCCACGGAAAATGTAATGGAAAGTTTTATAGTTTGTGTTATTCAGGAATTCTTGGTTAATAATCCACCTAATATATTCTGGTTAATTCAACCGTACCTGGTTAAATTAACCATGCAGGAATCCTGGTTAATTAGCCAGGACTATGAGAAAATTAACCAGGACGGAACATTAAAGTTGCCCCCAACAGGGTTAATTTTAGATTAACCGGGAAATGAGTGTTATAACAAATTTTGTTGAGCAACTAAGAAATATTTTTGCGGAAAATTTTTGCTAGCCATGTTAGTTAGGTGGTTTATTCATAAACATTGTTCCTTCAACAAAGATCACCCTTCCTGGGTATGTGGGCACACGAGCATTGCGTAGAATTCACGGTAAGATGCAGCCGAACTATATAACTGTATGAAACGATGGAGTAACCTCGAATTGTTAAAGATTGGATCACAGGGTCATGTGGTTTTCAGGCAACAAAGGCGTGGTACTAACGCGAGCACGGTAGCGCGCTAGCTAAAACACAAAAGGACAGTCATCTGACCCTCCCTTTCCGGAAAACACGTTGACCACTCTCAATTGAGAATTCTACACAATGAAACATTCTTCGAGGAGGTTTTGAAAGTTATTAGTGAGCTTAATTAAGCTAAGCATAATTTCAAATATTACCGCAAAAATGTTTCCTATATACAGGGTGTATCAAAATAAACGCAATTCATCTTTTGTGCTTAATAACTTTCGAAATACTATTTCTAGTTAGACGCTTTTAGGCTTACTTCAAAGCCTGTTCTTTTCTCTTTCAAACAAACTATTATCATTGTCTCCAATGCTAGTAATAATTGCACAGGAAAAGATTTAGTAAAACCTATCATTTTTAGTTGCTGTTTAATTATGCAAGTTTACTATGTTATTGTTTAGTCGGTTTAAATGTTGAAATTTTCTTCTTTAAACTTTAATGTTGTCGTCACTACATCTGGAAAACCGCGTAAGAACAAATTAAAAGTATTTTAAAAGAGACCAGGTTGTTTGAAAATCTAAACGAATGCTAAAAATCGTCAAAACATTCTGGTGTCTGAGCCAGAGTGTCACCGAATTGCGATGTAATGTAAACAGAAATTATAGCAAGTTGATGTCAGTCAGCTTAGATGGTCCAAGCCAAAATTATATCGCATTTGAAGTTTCAAACTGAGTTAAAAATAGTGGAAGAAAAGCCATAATTATACTTATTGTTACAATCCATTTCATAAAATGCAACATTTTTTTGTTTTAATGAAAA